GCACTGCGGCCCCTCCCTGGCTCTGGGGAGAGGCCAGAGGGAAGGGTCTCACCCCTGCAACATTAACTCACATTTCTCAGCCCGGTGAGCCGTTCTGTACAGGGAGCTTCACTGGCGTCTGAGCAGCCCCCATCTCTCCATCCGTTAGCCACCACCTTGCCCTCCCCACGGAGGGGCTGGCTGAGCCCCAGCAGGGAGCAGAAGCCCTGTTGGCAGTAATGCCACCCCCAGGTGTTCGGCCTCAGGAGAGGCGCGCCACAACCAGGAGACGATGGAAAACAGATGTGAGGCCCCTGTGGTTTGCCTGCTGCTTTTTGAGCCTCGAGGCTGCACTGAGGCCACAAGGGCTAGAAACCCTTTTCCGAAGGCTGCAGTCCCAGAGCCGCTGACTCCGGGAGCCGGGGTGTGAAGGAGAACGTCTAGCATGCGCGGGCAGCTCTGTGGGCCCAGGGCGACGGGGTGCCAATGTCTCAGCAGCAACCTGGCCAGCGCCTTCTACCACTTCCCTCGGCCACTACTCCCCAGGCAGCATTTGTCCTGGATTGGAGACATCCAAGAACTCCCCAAGGCCCCTGCTCCTCATGGGACTCCATCTCATGACTCACCTGGGACAACTTCAGCTTTCAGGACTGGCTGAGAAGGGCTGCACAGCCCTCCACTCTGCGGGTTTATCTTCAAACACCCCACGCAGCCACAGCAAAGCCACATCCGGCTCTGGAGTATCAGAGGGGTAGCCGTGTTAGTCTGAATCTGCAAAAGCGACGAGGAGTCCTGTGGCACCTTATAGACTAACTGAAGTGTAGGAGCATAAGCTTTCGTGGGCAAAGACCCACTTCGTCAGATGCATGTAGTGGAAATTTCCAGAGGCAGGAATAAATATGCAGGCCAGGATCAGGCTGGAGATGACCAGGTGGATCCAATCAAGGAGGATGAGTCCAGTTTCCATCCCGGACACACCACACGATCCATTGTTTACAGCCAAGCACTGAGGTACAACCGCATATGCTCCAACCCCTCAGACAGAGACCTACACCTACAAGACCTTCAACAAGCATTCTGTAAACTGCGATACCCACACGAGGAAGTGAGGAGACAGATTGACAGAGCCAGACGTGTACCCAGAAGCCTCCTGCTACGGGACAAGCCCAAGAAAGAAACCAACAGAACACCACTGGCCATCACCTACAGTCCCCAGCTAAAACCTCTCCAACGCATCATTAGTGATCTTCAGCCCATCCTGGACAATGATCCCTCGCTCTCACAGGCCTTGGGAGGTAGGCCGGTCCTTGCCCACAGACAACCCGCCAACCTGAAGCATATTCTCACCAGCAACTACACACCGCACCATAATAACTCGAACTCAGGAACCAATCCTTGCAACAAACCTCGGTGCCAACTCTGCCCACATATATACACCAGCAACACCATCACAGGACCTAACCAGATCAGCCATACTGTCACTGGTACATTCTCCTGCACATCCACCAACGTAATATATGCCATCATGTGCCAACAATGCCCCACTGCTATATACATCGGCCAAACTGGACAGTCCCTACGTAAAAGAATCAATGGACACAAATCTGATATTAGGAATGGCAACATACAAAAACCTGTAGGGGAACACTTCAATCTTCCTGGACACACAATTGCAGATCTAAAAGTAGCTATCCTGCAGCAAAAAAACTTCAGGACCAGACTTCAAAGAGAAACTGCTGAGCTACAGTTCATCTTTAAGTTTGACACAATCAACTCTGGATTAAACAAAGACTGTGAATGGCTTGCTAACTACAAAAGCAGCTTCTATTCTCTTGGAATTCACACCTCCAGATCAGCTGCTAGAAGTGGGCCTCATCCTCCTTGATTGGATCCACCTGGTCATCTCCAGCCTGATCCTGGCCTGCATATTTATTCCTGCTTCTGGAAATTTCCACTACATGCATCTGACGAAGTGGGTCTTTGCCCACGAAAGCTTATGCTCCTACACTTCAGTTAGTCTATAAGGTGCCACAGGACTCCTCGTCGATCCGGCTCTGGAACAATTCAAACCCCCTCCTCCCTCCACCACGCGCCTGGCCTGGCCACAAGAACCTTTGGGCCACTGGTGTGTCCCTATCTTCAAAGTGCTCAGTGACCCTGGTTTGCCCCCAACTCAAAGCGCAGAGGCATGAAAGCAACATGGCCCAGCCAGTCACATGATGGAAACACAAATGAGGCCAGTTCGTTCAGCCCCTTTTCCCTACTCTCCCACGAGCAAGCCGAAAGCGTCCTTCCTGCAGAGCCTCTGGCCACCGAAAGCGGCTCTTCCCTCCTGCCACCATGTGCGAGCTTCCAGGAACATGCAGAACGGGGAACCCTTTCCATGCCACGTCCCCATTGCTGCTGTGTAACCACTGAGGTCAAGCACTCGGGAGGGTTTGGAAACGCTGATTGTGTCGGTCTCTAGCTTGGAGCCAGAAGCTGTAGTAAGAGTAGAGAGGAGTTAGGGGAGCAACCCAACGTCTAGGCTGTCTACACTCGCGGCTTCTTGTGTGAGTAATATGCAAATGAGGCTAAGCATGGAATATCAGAGCCTCATTTGCATACCTAATGAGCCACCATTTTTTCAGAAGAGGCTCTTGTGCAGGAAGGAGCGTCTACACTGCCCCCTCTTGCGCGGCGCCGCTACACCGATTCGTTTTCAGGAAGAACGGCGTTGGGAAAGGGGGCAGAGCAGACGCTCCTTCCTGCGCAAGAGCCTCTTCTGAAAAAATGGTGGCTCATTAGGTATGCAAATGAGGCTCTGATATTCCATGCTTAGCCTCATTTGCATATTACCTGCACAAGGCGCCGCGCGTGTAGACAGCCCGGGGGGCAAGAGCCAGCCTCTGAGCGGGGCTGCCAAGGAAGTTTCCCTCGCAGGCAGCTGAGCCCTGCTCACTACCCAAGCACCAGGGCAAGCAGCACTTGGGATTGGCCCCTGCAGGACATGGGCACGGACGGGGGGCTCACTGCTCCGGTCTGACAGCAGCGCCCACGTTCCCAGCCAGCCGAGCGGGGGGAGGGCGCCCAGAGGATCAGTTAAATATTCAGGAGACGTGCTCCTCAGGGAGGCCCTGACCCAAAGGCCAGCCCAGCTTTCCCATTGAATCAGCCTGGGCGCACGCCTGTGCCGTACGGGAGGCAGCCCCGGGGCGGTGCCTTATGTAGACTTGGCCAAAGGCCACGGACTGGCCAGGACGCTGCAGCCCCCTCTTGCAGCATTGCCATGAGCCGCCCGTCCCTCTCCACCTCCGCCATGCTCCTTGCTGCCAGCTGACCTCCCTGTGCAGGTGAGTTGTCCTGAGCCCGCCTGTCGGGCAGATGCAGGCAGCCAAGCGGCTTGTAGCCCAGACAGATCTCCTGCAGCCTCCCCCCCTCCCCCGAGCATCATTCACACTAGCTGCTGAGCAACACATCACAGGGCCTGGCCTTTAGCCCATCCCTCCGCAGGGCGGGGACCAAAGAACCATCCCCCTCCACCCGAGCAGCCCGGCCTCCCCGCTCAGCACTGCTCCCTACCCTTCCCACAGCTGCAGGAACCCAGCCTCTGCCACACCCTGAGTGAGCATCCCCCAACAGCCCCCTAGCCCCACCTCTCCAGCCCGTCTCCCCTTTGGGGGCCAGCTCCTGCTTCCGCCCCTTCTCCCAGTCACTGTCCTTCGCCCATCGCCCTGGCCAGGCCTCAGCGTCCTCCTGGCCGGGTCTCAGCTTTCTGGTTGCTGGCAGCTCGTCCTGC